AAGTTCTTAGAGGATCATTTTTCGATCTACTCTAGATAGAGTGGCTCCATTAAAAAGTAAAATAGTAAGGCAGAAAAAACTCGCCCCCTGGTATAATGACCACACTCAGGCTTTAAAACAGACCGCCAGACAACTTGAGCGAAAATGGCGCCTGACTAAGCTAGAAGTGTTCCAGTCCGCCTGGAAGGAGAGCCTTACAGACTATAGAAGAGCACTTACTGCAGCACGCTCAGCCTCTCTCTCCTCTCTCATAGAAAACAATAAGAATAATCCTAGATTACTTTTCAGCACAATCTCTAAACTAACAGAGAACAAAACAGTTAGTGAACCGCAGATGCCACCAGCGTTTAGCAGCAACGATTTTATGAACTTCTTCAGTGACAAAATTGGCAGAAAAAAATGGGCAGAAAATTCAGAAACACAATTAAACTCCTCAAACCTGCTTCCCCTTAATGCCAGCCTCAATCTTGAGAATACTATAAACACTGCAGAGAGGCTGGAATCATTTACCTTACTCCAAGAAAATGAACTAGTTAAAATCGTTTCTTCCGCAAAATCATCTACTTGTATGTTAGATCCGATTCCTACAGGTTTACTCAAGGAAATTTTGCCAGAAATAACCAAGTCCATTCTGTCAATAATAAACTCCACTCTTAGCCTTGGATACATCCCAAAATCTCTCAAACTAGCAGTAATTAGACCGCTGATTAAGAACCTCGATCCGTGCGAACTATTAAATTATAGACCCATCTCGAATCTCCCATTTATATCTAAGATCTTGGAAAACGTTGTAGCAAAACAATTAAGCTCCTATTTGTATATGAATCAAATACACAAAAAATTTCAATCTGGCTTTAGGCCACATCATAGTACAGAGACAGTACTAGTAAAAATTGTAAATGATCTTTTATTATTCTCTGACCAAGAAAATGTGTCCCTGTTAGTCCTCCTCGATCTTAGTGCGGCATTTGACACAATAGACCACACTATCTTACTAGACAGACTAGAAAACCTTGTAGGGGTAACAGGAACAGCTCTTTCCTGATTCAGGTCCTACCTCACTGATCAGTATCAGTGTGTTAATATAAACAGGGAATCATCTGCCCTCGTAAAGGTAAAGTATGGTGTTCCACAAGGCTCTGTTTTAGGACCTGTATTATTCACATTATATATGCTACCACTGGGCACCATTATCAGTAAACACGGCATAAATTTCCACTGCTATGCTGATGACACTCAGTTATATTTAGCAAGCAAACCGGATGATTAAGTTAAACTTGTTAAGATTGAGGACTGTATAAAAGACGTAAAGACTGGATGTTGAGTAACTTTCTCCTAATTAACTCAGATAAAACAGAGGTTCTACTTCTTGGTCCAAAAGCTGCTAATTTAACACTTAACAATTTCTCAGTTGCATCAAGCTCATCTGTAAAAAGCCTTGGTGTCATTATAGACCCTGATCTGTCCTTCGACGCACACATAACTAATATTACTAGAACAGCCTTCCTGCATCTCCGCACTGACACACACACACACACACACACACTGACCCACACACACTCACTGACGCACACACACACCCTCACACACACACACACACACTCACTGACACACTCACTGACACACACACACTCACTGACACACACACACACACACTGACACACACACACACTCACTGACGCACACACACACCCTCACACACACACACACACACACACTCACTGACACACACACACTTGCACACTGACATACACACACACTCACTGACACACACACTCACACACTCACGCACACATTCACTGACACACTCACTGACACACACACTCACACAGACACACACACACACACACACACACTCACACTGACACTCACATGCACACTCACACATGCACACACACGCACACACACACACTCACTGACACACACACAGACACACTTACACACACAAACACTCACACACATACACTCACACACACACTCACTCACAAACACACACTCACACTGACACACTCTCATACTCACACACGCCCACACACACACACTCACACACACTCTCACACTGACACACAGACACACACACACTGACACACACACACTCACTGACACTCTCACTGACACACACACACACTGACACTCACTGACACACGCACACACTCACGCACACACACACACACTGACACACACACACACTCACTGACACAGTCACACACACACACTCACACACACACACACTCAGTCACACACACATACACAAGACACACACACTTACTGACACCTTCTCACACACACATACACACACACACACTCACACACACTTACACAAACACACACAAACACATATACTCACACTCACACACACACAGACACACACACTGTCCACTTTGTTAGGTAATTTTGTAGTTCTACAGTTCCAGACTGTAGTCCATCTGTTTCTCTGCATACTTTGTTACCCTGTTCAGGACCCCTACAGGACCCCCACAGAGCAGGTATTCGATAATATAAGATAATCCTTTATTTGTCCCACAGCAGAGAAATTCACAGTGCTGCCTCAGCAAAGGGAGAGCAAGGCACTCAAGAAACGAGTAACAGAAAGAGAATTAACACATTTGGGTGGCTGTTCGTTCTCAGCACTGCAGAGAAACAGATGGACTACAGTCTGTAACTGTAGAACTACAGAGTGAAGCTATACGGTCAGTGGAGCTGATACAGGGGACAGTGAGTGCAGAAATAAACCACCTACAGACTTACACTGTAAACACACTCACACACACACACACACACACACTATCGAACACAACACCTCCAGATAAAGAAACAAAGTCCAGACTGATTAATCAGATTCACACACATGAACTGAGCAGCATCACAACATTACAGTGTTACTGTATTACAGTTACAGTGTTACAGTGATACGCTACTGACATATGAGCAGGACAGTGTTCTGTGTGTGTGTGTTTATATATGTGTGTGTGTGTTTATGTATGTGTGTGTGTGTGTGTGTGTGTGTGTTTATATATATGTGTGTGTGTGTTTATGTATGTGTGTGTGTGTGTGTGTGTGTGTGTTTATATATGTGTGTGTGTGTGTGTGTGTTTGCGTTTATGTATGTGTGTGTGTGTGTGTGTGTGTGTGTGTGTTTATATATATGTGTGTGTGTGTGTGTGTGTTTGCGTTTATGTATGTGTGTGTGTGTGTGTGTGTGTGTGTGTGTGTGTGTGTGTAAGTGCAGACAGACCTTTCTTGTCGGGTCCAGGTGGAGGAGTCGGGTCAGGAATCGGATCAAACACACTGCAGTCCTTCCCCGTATAATCCGGCTCACAGATACACTTCACCTCATTACTGCACGTCTGAAAGACAGAGAGATCAGTCACTACACACAGCACACACACCACACACTATACACACTACACACTGCACATACTACACACACCACACAATATACACACACACTATACACACACCACACACACTCTAAACACTCTACATACACTACACACACACTACACACACTACACACATACTCTACACACACTACACACACTACACACACACACTGCACATACTACACACACCACACACTATACACACTACACACTGCACATACTACACACACCACACAATATACACACACACTATACACACACCACACACACTCTAAACACTCTACATACACTACACACACACTACACACACTACACACATACTCTACACACACTACACACACACTACACACACACACACTGCACATACTACACACACCACACACTATACACACTACACACTGCACATACTACACACACCACACAATATACACACACACTATACACACACCACACACATTCTAAACACTCTACATACACTACACACACACTACACACACTACACACACACTACACACACACTACACACACTACACACACACTACACACACACTGCACATACTACACACACCACACACTATACACACACCACACACACTCTAAACACTCTACATACACTACACACACACTACACACACTACACACATACTCTACACACACTACACACACTACACACACACACTGCACATACTACACACACCACACACTATACACACTACACACTGCACATACTACACACACCACACAATATACACACACACTATACACACACCACACACACTCTAAACACTCTACATACACTACACACACACTACACACACTACACACATACTCTACACACACTACACACACTACACACACACACTGCACATACTACACACACCACACACTATACACACTACACACTGCACATACTACACATACCACACAATATACACACACACTATACACACACCACACACACTCTAAACACTCTACATACACTACACACACACTACACACACTACACACATACTCTACACACACTACACACACACTACACACACACACACTGCACATACTACACACACCACACACTATACACACTACACACTGCACATACTACACACACCACACAATATACACACACACTATACACACACCACACACATTCTAAACACTCTACATACACTACACACACACTACACACACTACACACACACTACACACACACTACACACACTACACACACACTACACACACACTGCACATACTACACACACCACACACTATACACACACCACACACACTCTAAACACTCTACATACACTACACACACACTACACATATACTCTACACACACTACACACACACACTACACACACACTACACACACACACACTGCACATACTACACACACCACACACTATACACACACACCACACACACTCTAAACACTCTACATACACTACACACACACTACACACATACTCTACACACACTACACACACACTGCACATACTACACACACCACACACACCACACACTATACACACACCACACACACTACGTACACTCTACACACTACACACACCACACACTACACGCTCTACACACACTACACACACTACACACTATACTGAAGTGCTGAGTTCACCAGAGCTATTTGCTGACCTCACATGTGCCCAGTTTGTCAACATCCTGTGTCAGTTCCATGATGGGATGATGGCTCATGAACATGAGCAGCTGAAGAATCTGAATCTTGTCCTTTAAGTGGGGATGAGAGAGACCTGTGTGCCACCTGTGAGTCACTGTCCATCACCTGTCCTGTCCATACAGAGCCTGATAGATCAGTGATATTCCAGGTGCTTTAGTTTGTATATTTTTTTTCCAGAAAACTACAGGAACTACCAAACTGCCCAGAAAGTGCATCAATGACCTCGTGGCTCTTGTGGCTCACTGTCCCCAGGATCTGCAGTCCATCTTTGCTCTGGCTGTCATATCTTTTCATTGGGATGGGATGGTTTATGGAAATGGAATGGAAATCGGACAGCTGTGATCTGTCAGTAGTGTAAACCCCACCCACATCTCCCATCTTCACCAACAGTTACATACAATTATTCCAACATTCCAGTATCTCAGCAGCATCCAGTCTCAGAACTGCAGGACTGATATTGAAATTCAACATCAAACCAACATGGATCAGCTGCTTTCGGAAGACTCTGAGACTTTAAGGTGGCTCTTCTCTTTTATTCAGCTGATTTTCAGGGAGTCACCAATACAACTCTAAACTATCTGCCCTCACAGAAGCTCTGAATGAGATGATGTAAGATGAGGCTGGAGAACCTGGAAGATGCTGCTGCTGATGGCTACAGCTGGTTAGAGAGACAGAATGACCAGAAGAAAGCAAAGGCATCTCAGGAGGAAGAGATCAGTGGATGACTACCACCTACTCACGCTGCACTGACAATAAAACCTCACTGTCCCGTCGGTGGGCGGCATGGTGGCACAGTGGGTAGCACTGTCGCCTCACAGCAAGAATGGCCTGGGTTCGATTCCCGGCCGGGTGACCAGGGTCATTTCTGTGTGGAGTTTGCCTGTTCTCCCCGTGTCTGCGTGGGTTTCCTCCGGGTACTCCGGTTTCCTCCCACAGTCCAAAAACATGCAGTCAGGCCAATTGGATGTGCTAAATTGCCCCTAGGAGTGAGTGTGTGTGTGAATGCGTATGTCTGTCTGTCTGCCCTGCGATGGACTGGCGACCTGTCCAGGGTGTATCCTGCCTTCCGCCCAATGACAGCTGGGATAGGCTCCAGCACCCCACCGCGACCCAGAAGGATAAGCGGTTTAGATGATGGATGGATGGATGGATGTCCCATCGGTTTAATGAGAAACCGAACAGCTTACCTTCAACATAATTCTTCACTGAATACGACGGAGATGAATTATGTAAGTGTGCGTGTGTGTGTGTGTGTGTGTCTCACCCCGTGGTTGGAGCAGGTCGGTCCTGAGCTGGATCCGGGGCAGGTGCTGATGTTGAAGGAGCTGAGCGGGAGGCAGCGGCGCTCCAGACACATCATACTGGGACCACACGGAGTTCCATCCTCCACATAACCCAGATCAGATCCATCTTCTAACACAGCATGACCCCCACTACACACACACACACACACGCACACACACGCACACAAACATACACGCACACACACACACACACACACACACACACACATACACACACACGCACAAACACACACACGAATGTTTCAATGAACCTAACCAAGTTCAGTGTTGTTGTTAATCATTACCTGGTTTGTCATTTGAGCATGCTGTCACACACACCCACACCCACACCCACACAGACACACACACACACACTAACCGGCAGTCCAGATATTTGTTCTGGTGGAAGATGGTCAGGCTGGTCAGTTCCCCCTGCAGGTCCCCAAACTTCGGCTTTTCTGTCACATTGGAACAGAAAAGAAACCCACACAGAACGTCTCTGCAACACACACACACAGACACACACACACACACACAGACACACACACACACACACACACACACACACAGACACATGATACTCAATGACAAAAAGAAAAACAAACATGCACAAACAGGTGACAAATTAGAGGAAAAACTATAATAAAGTGTTGAGCCACCACGAGCGGCCGGAACAGCTTCAGTGCTCTTTCTAATAGATTCTACAGTTTCAGGAACGGAACGTTATTCTTCCAAATTCCGTTTATACAGGACATGTTTTGTCAAAGGTGGTGGAGAATGTGGGCCAACACTGTTCTCCTAAGAGGACAGTGATCAGCAAAAAGCCCTCCAGAGAATAACAGAGCCCCCTGACCCCCTCACTTTAGGGGTCCAGTGTTCAGGCCTGTGCTGTTCTCTTGGTGTACACTGTACATGCACTCTCTCACTTGTGGAGAACATGGTGGAGACTGAGTCGTCTGACCAGAGCACTGTTCTCCACATCTCTGTACATCAGCGCTGATGGTTTTTACTCCGCTGACCTCTTGGATGGTCACTGGTCTTTGTAACGAGGGGTTTCTGAACTGCAGCTCTTCTATAATATCCCTCTCTGAGTAGTTGTGGATGGACTGACCTCATCCTGTATTGACGTTATCAGCTCAGCTGAGGAACATCTACTCTCACATCTTATACATTTCAGACCAGTGTCCAGTCCTGTCCACTGACGACTTTTACAGCATCTAAATGCAGAGCTCACTTTAGTATCTGTTCCGTTCAAACACTGAGGTGAGCAGTGTTGGAGAGAAGCTTCTGCCATCAAAGCCCTGATGAGGAACCCTAATGAAGTCAAAGTCATGTAGATCTGCTCCTCTTCATCATCTGGATCCAGAATTATGGGCAGCTGGACCTGCTCAGCGTTTTTATACCTGCCCAGAGCTGGTAGGATCTTAATTGATTAATTGGATTATGCAGTTGACCTGTCTGGAAGCACCTGCCCTCGTTATGTTTCTCCACTCGTTTATTCATGTTTTTCATTTATTTCTTTATCAGTCTGTATCCTGTAAGTGAACAGATCGTACGGTTTATTGCACTGGATCCAGCTCTGTCCTCCTGCAGCGCGACCACAGTTTCCTTTCTCTGTTCCTTCAGCGTTTAACTTCTCATAGCAGAACCGATCTGCTGCACCTGCGCACACACACACACACACACACACACACACACACACTGTCACACACTAATAAAAGGCTGATAATATAGAACAAAATGAGAAATTTTGCAATTCTCTTCATTTTCAGTACATTTTTCTCCCTTAACACTTTAGACCCCAACAGAACTCTAGAACCTTCTTCTGGATTCCTGACAGTTTTCACAGTAAGAGGCTTTTTGATCACTGCTTAAACAAAGTGTTTCATCATTAAACCAGGATAAAATACAACTATGGTCTGATTTCATTTTAAAGATGAGTCACCACATTAAAATGAAAACAAAACAAAGTTAGAAATCAGCACAGAGCGGTCAGTTCAGGACTGAAGTGGAAACTTGTGATACTGAACTTCATAAAAAATAAACTGGGTTTTAATCATCGCCCTGTATGTAGCTAAAGGCTGCGTAACGTTCGGTACTTCCTGTTATTCTGTGTGATTGTAGTTATTTTTCTAACGCTCTGCTGGGCCTGTTACTCTATTTGTCTCCTAATTTACATAATCACAGCAAAATAACAATATGCTAAAATCTGTTTAGTTTTGGACATTTGCCCCCTCACACTGCCCACACACACTCCCCACATACTGTCCACACACTGTCCACACACTCTCTATACTCACTGTAGCCCCACAGTGCTCTGCACTGATTGTCGAGGGTTCGACAGCGACCGTTATAACAGCGACCCTAAAGACAGAGACACAAACAAGAGAGTCGAAAAGAAAGTCCTCTTTTATGAATTACAGTGTTACAGTGTGCTGCAGTGTGCTGCAGTGTGCTGTGTATCACAGTGCACTGTTACAGTGTGTAGTGAATTAGAGCATTCTGGGTTAGGGTTACATTGCAGAGTTTGTTACAGCATTTCAGTGAGTTACACTTATAATGTGTATTACAGTGTGCTCTGTTATAATGTGTATTACAGTGTGCTCTGTTATAATGTGTATTACAGTGTGCTCTGTTATAATGTGAATTATAGTGTGTTCTGTTATAATGTGTATTACAGTGTGCTCTGTTATAATGTGTATTACAGTGTGCTCTGTTATAATGTGTATTACAGTGTGCTCTGTTATAATGTGAATTATAGTGTGTTCTGTTATAATGTGTATTACAGTGTGCTCTGTTATAATGTGTATTACAGTGTGCTCTGTTATAATGTGAATTATAGTGTGCTCTGTTATAATGTGTATTACAGTGTGCTCTGTTATAATGTGTATTACAGTGTGCTCTGTTATAATGTGAATTATAGTGTGTTCTGTTATAATGTGTATTACAGTGTGCTCTGTTATAATGTGAATTATAGTGTGTTCTGTTATAATGTGTATTACAGTGTGCTCTGTTATAATGTGTCTTACAGTGTGCTCTGTTATAATGTGTATTACAGTGTGCTCTGTTATAATGTGAATTATAGTGTGTTCTGTTATAATGTGTATTACAGTGTGCTCTGTTATAATGTGTATTACAGTGTGCTCTGTTATAATGTGTATTACAGTGTGCTCTGTTATAATGTGAATTATAGTGTGCTGTTTTTTTCATTTTCATTTCCTTTTTACCCACAATTAATGTTATCAATGTATCACACAGCGAAATTAGTCAAAATCTTTTTCTGAAACAAAGACTTTCTGAAATAAAATACTACCTGATTGTTGTCACACATGTAGCCGTCCAACTTGTGAACATTGTGTGGACACTACAAGAAAAGAATGTAAATATTTTAAAGTGTGTTTACCATCAATGGAGAAAAAAGCAGCTAAATCAGAGGTTATTGTACTCAGATGTTATGAGTATTTTTACTGCATTAGGCTAAAGTGTAATGAGTATTGTATCCCCCGAAGGTGGACTAACCCTGCCTTCACAATAAGAGTCCTTCGCAGAATATCCTCATGAATAAAAGCAAAAGAACATAATAAAAACATACAATTAACAAGCACACATTTCTTGAACACACTACACACTACTTTGGCTCAAGTGCAGTGAGTATTATTACTGTACCTGGCTGGAATCTCCAGTGCAGGTTTCTGGGATATCACAGTCATTCACAGCGTCCCGGCACATCACCCCTCTCTGTTCGTACTGCAGCACCAACAGGAGCACAAAACTCTGTCAATGCACTGACACACTAACGCAGGGGTGCACAACTCCGGTCCTGGAGGGCTGGTGTCCCGCACAGTTTGAAGGTTTCCCTGCTGAAACACATCAACTTAACCTGGCAATTAACAGATAAGTGTAATCAGGTGTGTTGGAGCAGGTAAATCACCAAACTGTGCTGGACATCGGCCCTCCGGGACCGGAGTTGTGCACCCCTGCACTAGTGTAATTCACCAATGTTACGCATTAATATTACATATTAACAGAAAATTACTCAGATGGCTAATTTCCCATTACTGTTTCATTGAGACTCACCCTGCATTCTCGACAGCATAGGCCATTACTGCACATTGCATCATGGGTAAGAGTGCATTTCTTACAGCAGGATCCTCCACTGCGTGCACACTCCTGCACATTAACGTTCACACAAAATAAATGAAGAACTACTAACATTCATTTCATGTCCACTATTTACACTGTAAACAGCTGTATTATCATTTTCCACATCTGTAAAACTGAAGATCCAACACAGAAATTAATGTCATCTATTCCATCTAATAAGTGTTAGAAATAACTGCTACCTGCTGTCAGCTCAACTGCACATATCAAAGCTCTCAAGGATAATGAAGATTTGTGACTTTTGATGATCTTTAACTAAAGTCAGATGTGATGAAGTTGATTTTTATAACCGGCAACTAGTCATTCTGCCCAGCAGCTCAGACGTCCAGTAGATGTACAGTAGAGCTAGAGAGAAAGAAAGAGAGGGAGAGAGCGAGAGAGCTAGAGAGAGAGAGAGAGAGAGAGAGAGAGAGAGAGAGAGAGAGAAAGAGCTAGAGAGCTAGAGAGAGAGAGAGAGAGAGAGAGAGAGAGAATGAGCTAGAGAGCTAGAGAGAGAGAGAGAGAGAGAGAGAGAGAGAGAGAGAGAGAGAGAGAGAGAGAGAAAGAGCTAGAGAGAGAGAGAGAGAGCAGCCCTATAAACAGTTTCAGTGTGAAGAAGGAACTTCAGACTGGTTTCATAATTAAATGAGAAACTGCATTAGAGTGGATTTACTACAACTGGCATTTTTAAACGCTAACTTGTTCACTGATAGTCATCAAACACTGGCTGACGCTCCGGCTCGTTTAAAACGTACTTAGTAAATAACGTTGTTTATTTGTAGACAAACACTTACGTATAACACTTGTGCACATATGTAATAAAAAAGTGTGAACTGAATATTCCGGCTGTTTGTTTTAGTCATAGTTCACACCATTTGGTAGGTAAACTTACCACCTGCGAGCCACAGTCACACTCCTCTCCGGGCTCCACAAAACCATTCCCACACTCAGGAGGGTCCAGCAGCTGGACACAGAGAATCGGAAGGGTGAATAATTTAGTGATATCTGGTAAAAAGCAGTTTAAGCAGAGTAACATTCAGCATCACATTCCCATTATCAGCACATTCCCATCTCCAGCACATTCCCTTCACCAACATGTTCCCATTATCAGCCTTCACCAGCACATTCCCATTACAAGCACATTCCCTTCAGAACCACATTCCCTTCACCAGCACATTCCCTTCAGAACCACATTCCCTTCACCAGCACATTCCCATCTCCAGCACATTCCCTTCACCAACATGTTCCCATTATCAGCCTTCACCAGCACATTCCCATTACAAGCACATTCCCTTCAGAACCACATTCCCTTCACCAGCACATTCCCATTACTAGCACATTCCCTTCAGAACCACATTCCCTTCACCAGCACATTCCCATCTCCAGCACATTCCCTTCACCAACATGTTCCCATTATCAGCCTTCACCAGCACATTCCCATTACAAGCACATTCCCTTCAGAACCACATTCCCATCACCAGCACATTCCCATCACCAGCACATTCCCATCACCAGCACATTCCTTCACCAACACATTCCCATTATCAGCCTTCACCAGCACATTCCCATTACAAGCACATTCCCTTCACCAGCACATTCCCATCACCAGCACATTCCCATTATCAGTACATTCCCTTTACCAGCACTTTTACATCTCCAGCATATTCCCTTTACCATCTCATTCCCATCACCAACACATTCTCTTCACCACCACATTCCCATTATCAACCTTCATGAGCACATTCCTATTACAAGCATGTTCCCTTCAGAACAACATTCCCAACACCAGCACATTTCCATCACCAGAACATTCTCATCACCAGCACATTCCCTTCGTTAGCACATTCCCATTATCAGCACGTTCCCTTCACCAGCACATTTCCATTATCAGCACATTCTATTTTCCCCCAAACTCCCATCACCAACACATTCCCATCACCAGTACATTCCCATAATCAGCACATTCCCTTCATCAGCACATTCCTTTCACCATCACCTTTC